CCCTACAATGCTTGTGTGTAATATCTGTGTTTGCAGTGAAATATACAGTAGAACCTTGGAACTCGAACGTCTCTTAACTCAACCAACTTGGACATCAAACGTGTTGGTCAGATTTTTTGTACCTCAACTGAAATCTTGGAACTCGACCGTTCCTGCTAAAATTTGTATGAGTCGAGACGTGTCCAACTAAATCAATTTGAATCGTGAATGGGTTGGTCAGGAAACACCTAGCTACAAGTCGATCGAAAACTCCAAACACGATACAAAGAAACAGACCCACTGAAACTATTACGGATCGAGACACGTCTCTGATGGGCTAAATAAAGGCAGACGGACCTACTGAGATGCTGATTCTTTTGAATCGCTGTTAATCTCGCCGTAACTCGGCCGAGTTTGACGTACGAAAGCTGTGCTGCTGTGTTCAGTGTGATTTTTTGTGCTTTATCTATAGTACATTTAGTGATACAGTAATCATGCCCCCTAAGAAAGTGAGCAGTGATAGCAGCAAACCAAAGAGGAAAGTAGTGAGAGTAACTGTAGAACTTAAAAGGAAATTATAACTAGACTTGAAGGTGGTGCACGTGTGTCTGCTCTCACTTCGGAGTGTGGGATTGTCATTTATTTGATGTTTATTGCGTTTGTATGTGTATTAGTTTTATATTGATTGTTAATTCTTTATTATCATTAGTTAGGTAGGTAGATACGTTTAAATAGGCAATCATTTGTAGGTCTGGAACAGATTAAATTCATTTTCTGTATTTCTTATGGGGAAATTTAACTTGGACCTCGACCAAATCGGAACTCGACCAGCCTTCTGGAATAAAACAATAAGTTTGTGTTCCAAGGTATCACTGTAGTAATGCAAGTTGTATTAATACTGCTGTTATGGAAAACCCTGTAGTATAATAAAAGTGCTTCTGTCTTTCCCATACTCTGTGTAACATGGTCCTCTGTCAAGGCTGTAATTTTCAAGGGGAGTAGTTTTCATGCACATACTCACACATTCAGTACTGATATATACACAATGATTTTTCAAAGAAAACCACCATTTTAAGAAAGATCGTTCTCTTAGTCATTTTATGTATATTAGTAGAGTATGTCATAATGCATTATTAATGCAGTGTCAAATCTATCAAAATCTCATGCTTAAATTTAACACAGTCAATACAACACCATTTTTTGTAGAATTTGAAAGCATCTATTAATCTTAATAATTTAGCTATCACTATATCCTCCTGAGATCCAGCATTTCATGTTTGTCCTCTGTAGAGAACAAAGTTTTGCTCATATCTTTCATACTATACATGCTACTCTTTTAGGTTCCATTGTTCCTTAAGGAGGACAGTTAGGGCTTTGAAATGACATCACATCTGGGGGTATGATTTTTACCTTCCCAGCCATTTATGTGAAACAAAAAATCAAAATTGAAAAACCTTTATTGCCCTGGATCTCAGGAGGATATAACAAAATATAATAATAGCCATGTTACTATATGACAGAAAAAAACATTAAGGAC